AAACCTCGAGCTAGTCAATTAAGGTTTGAAGGGATTGATGGTCGAGCTAATCGATCTAGGACTATAATAGAGAGATAGAAAAGCAGAATCAATAGCTTCTTAACCAATAGAATAATCTCTACGAAAAACTTAAGGCACGAGAAGAGAAACTTATAGCAGTTTAAAACCTCACACTTACATTCTCTATTAATAATAATAACATGTTAAAATTCCCTAAGCCTAAATTATACGATAGTTATAAGGGTAATGTAAGGAACTTTCTTATATAAGCCTAAGCTTACCTACGAGTCAACGAAAAAATCTATATAATACTTGAGTTATAAATTCTTTGCATTAGCAACCTCTTAACTAGGAAAGCAATAGAATAGTGGGAGCTAACTCTTCGCGTATATCTTAAGCATAGCGCTAAAGCCGGAGTGGAAGTTATCCACATCTTCTCTAATTACAAAACCTTTAAAGAACGACTTCTCGCTGCATTTGGAAACCCTAATAAGCATAAAGAAGCTATATAATAGCTTACTCGACTCAAGTAGACCGGATCTGCAGCTTATTATGCTAGGGAGTTTAAACGCATTATAGTAAAACTTAACTAGAATACTAAACCTAAAATAGAAGTCTTCTATTAAGGACTTAAAGAAGAAGTGAAGGATAACATTTATTAAGAAGATCGTCCTAAGTTATTTAATAACTTCGTTGAAATAGTTATTAAGGCAAACAATCGTTTATACGAGTAACGTCACGAAAAAAGTCATAAGAAATTCAGATTATATGTTAGGTTTAATAAACCTAATAGTAATAAGCCACGCCGAATATTAATAGTATACAGGTACCACGCTGGACCTATAGAACTTAACGCCGCGAATAAGGAAAAGGGGAAGACTTATTATAATTATAGTAAGACTAGACACTTTACGAATAAATGTAAAGCCTTAAAGAAGCCATAAAAGCTAATTCCTAAAGGCAGGAAGCTTTATACTATAAACCGAGAAGACTTACCTACGCGAAATCTTAGTATAGTAAGTAATAAAGGAAGCCCCACGTTAATAAATAATATTAGTTCGGATAAAGATTAGGAATTTAAAACCTAACTAGTACCTAACGACTTTTAGAAACACTAGACACCCTCACTAAAAAGTGAACCTTTACTGGAATGGATCTAAGAAGAAGAGAATCATTTAACTAAGAAAGACGAACCTAAAATTAAATATAGACTCCTTAATTGGACCTTCTATTATAATAATAATTACTACACGTACGAAAAGCCACCACACCCGCCGATAATAGCGCCTAGAATAACGCGCTAGAGAACGATATGAGGATAGGATCAATAATTCGGGAAATGATAGCTGTTATCGTAATTAAGACCGATTCCTTAACGGAGATCTAATAGGTCTCTATATATTACAAATATTAGTAGTATTATACACCTTATAGTTAATATAATTATAATAGGAAGAAAGATTTAGGTAATAATTAATAGCGGAGTATAAGGAAATTTTATCTCGCTAAATCTCGTTAATAAATTATAATTACCTTAGACACCTAAAGATAAGCCCTACTAACTTATAACTATGGAAGGAACTATAGTAAAGTATAGCTATGGAGTAGTTAACATAAAGATCGCGTAGCTTCTTATTAATATATAAGGTATAAAACACCAAGTTACACTAAATATTATAGTAATCTCAAAACACGATATTATATTAGGGATACCCTAGTTATAAGCAAGCAATCCACGAGTTAATTAGAGAACCGGCTAACTTTAATGGGATTTACTAGAATGCGGTTATAAAGTAGAGAGCAGCCTATAAAAAGCACCTTATTTAAACTATAATAGGCCTTTAGGAATATATGTGAGTGCTAGAGAGCTAAAAGCTAAGATAATAGAGATTCCTAAGGAATACTTAAAGTATAGTAAGCTGTTTAACGGAGAGCTAGAAATAGGACTACCAAAGTATTTACGCTAGAACCACGAGATTAGACTTTAGCCTAGTACTAAACTAACGTTTAATGCGTAAAATTCTTAGAACCCTAAGCAAGATAAGGCGCTTAAGGAGTATCTAAAGGACATGTTATAAAAGGGATATATAAGACTATTAGAGTCCCTAGTAGGATACCTAATCCTATGGGTACTAAAGAAGAACGGGAAACTATAACTATACATTAATTATTAACACTTAAATAAGATTACAATTAAGAATTAATACTCGTTACCGCTTATAATGGAAATTAAAGATAAAGTTAGAAAAGCTAAATAGTTTACCACACTTAACTTAAAAGGAGCCTATAACCTTATACGAATAAAAGAAGGCTATAAGTGAATAACAGCATTCTAAACTAGCAAAGGACACTACAAATATCTAGTAATGCCTTTTAGGCTTACCAACGCACTAATAACCTTTTAAAGAATAATTGATATAATCTTACGAAAACAACTAGGAGTGTTTATAGTTGTATACCTTAATAATATCCTTATTTATTTAGATACCCTTAAGGAACATAAACGACACGTACATAAGGTACTATAAACTCTATAGGACAATAAACTCTTAGTTAAAGCCTTAAAATACCAGTTCCACCAGAACACTATACACTTTCTAGGGTACGTGCTTACACATGAAGAAATACGAATAAGCCCGAATAAGATTAAAACCATTAAGGAATAGCCTATATTAAAGAATCTAAAAGAAGTTAAAGGATTTATAGTATTCGTAAACTTTTACCACAAATTCTTAAGCGGTTATAGAGACATTTCATAATCTCTTATAAACCTAATAAAGAAAGAAGTTAGCTTTTAATAGAACGAACTAGAAGCTATAGTATTCCAGAAAATAAAAGATTTAGTTACGTTAGAACCTATATTAAAAGCACCTAATTAAAATAAACCTTATAAGCTTAAAACGAACGCCTTAAACTTTACACTAGGCGGATAGCTTAAATACTTGCCTTTGCCGCCGGCCTAGTACGGCCCTGTTTCGGCCGCGGCCAGAGATGGCTATCAGATGGCCATCTACATATGAACCTACCCAACAGCAGTTGGTCTCAGTTGCATAGTTAAGCCATCAGTTAGGTTTCAGTCGCATATGTAGCACTGTCTGAATATAGTACAGCTCTGCGTGATGCTCGAAGGGGACATGACCACGAAATCGAGGTTGTCAAGAGCAACCAATCAGACATGCGAGATTGCCGCCGTACTTAGACTCGCGGGAAACGCAAAGGGGGCGGTGTGGGATAAGGTACTATAAACTCTATAGGACAATAAACTCTTAGTTAAAGCCTTAAAATACCAGTTCCACCAGAACACTATACACTTTCTAGGGTACGTGCTTACACATGAAGAAATACGAATAAGCCCGAATAAGATTAAAACCATTAAGGAATAGCCTATATTAAAGAATCTAAAAGAAGTTAAAGGATTTATAGTATTCGTAAACTTTTACCACAAATTCTTAAGCGGTTATAGAGACATTTCATAATCTCTTATAAACCTAATAAAGAAAGAAGTTAGCTTTTAATAGAACGAACTAGAAGCTATAGTATTCCAGAAAATAAAAGATTTAGTTACGTTAGAACCTATATTAAAAGCACCTAATTAAAATAAACCTTATAAGCTTAAAACGAACGCCTTAAACTTTACACTAGGCGGATAGCTTAAATAATTGCCTTTGCCGCCGGCCTAGTACGGCCCTGTTTCGGCCGCGGCCAGAGATGGCTATCAGATGGCCATCTACATATGAACCTACCCAACAGCAGTTGGTCTCAGTTGCATAGTTAAGCCATCAGTTAGGTTTCAGTCGCATATGTAGCACTGTCTGAATATAGTACAGCTCTGCGTGATGCTCGAAGGGGACATGACCACGAAATCGAGGTTGTCAAGAGCAACCAATCAGACATGCGAGATTGCCGCCGTACTTAGACTCGCGGGAAACGCAAAGGGGGCGGTGTGGGTCGTTCGGCCCGTTGGTGCATCCACATTACTATTGACCCAAGTGCCGTCCAGTTGTTGAGGCACAACTCTTCCAAGTCATCGTTAGTCCATCTCTTCTTAGTTCTCCCTCCATCGTTATCGCTTAACAGCTGCGTATCCGACGATGGCGGATGGCGGTCGTATTCACATTCAGGATGCGCTGTCCCTTGTTGGAGACCTGCCTCTGCCACACCCGGCGTCTGCCTTGCTCTCATCATTTGTCCTTGAGGCTCTTAACCCCGAGGTAGCTGCCGAGTATGTTCAACGCCAAATAGCAGATGGCCAGGCACATTTACTAGTATCGGATTGGATTTCCATCGTCAATTCAAGTAAGTCACGTTTCAAGTTTGAATTTGGCCTGATTTTCTTGCCTTACGTTGCTAACTGCTCAGTTACTGATGAGGGTTTATCACCACCACAGCCAAATGTCGATACAATAAAGGCCATCACCCGGCGTGATGGATACAAGTGCTGTGTTTCCGGAAAGAGTGGTGGTTTTTGGGACCCTCTTATTGTTGTCCCTATTCTACCAATTCCATACAAATGGGCAAGCGCCGACGTGAGTTTGATACGTACCAACCAGAGTAAACTCTCCGCGTCTAATTCTTTTCCCAGCCACGTGTTTTGCAAATGCTAAATGCCTTCTTTGGTCGTCCGTACCTGGAATGGTGGCGGAATTGTATCGAAAGAGCTGGAATGATATCCTCGTATCACAACCACTGGCTGGTTCGAAAGAGCGTGTCTGAAGCCCTGAAGCGAGGAGTAGTTAGGTTGGTGAGGCGACCTTCTTCCATGATTGAGGTAGGAAACCCCTCTCCGGTGGTCGATTTCGCGACCTTGAGTCTGACTTCTGTTGTTACAGTATGAAGTTGATCATGTTCTCATCGGGAATGAAAGACCTATTGCTATTAGCGGCAAATATGCTCTCCTTGGTGATCACTCCCGGTCAGGTATTGACAAGGTAGATGCCCGCTTTATTGGAACACATGCCCGCTTATGTAGAAGCATTCAACTGGTGAATATTGCTAGAAGTATGACCCCTAGTCTTCTTTCTCAGGAATCACCTAAACCTATCCCAAAGTCTCATCAAACCCGCATTCGCCCCCGCACAAGACTTAATCAAACTCGTCTCCTATCACCTTTCCTCCATATCTGGCTTCTTTTGCCTGCCACGGCTCGCATAGCAGTCTATGAGCTTTTGCGAAAACTAGGCCATCGATTATATGGATTGGATGACGCAGACAACGTCCAAAGACTGCCTTTCGGCCTCTATCTCAAGTACCGCGGCGAGCCTGACCTACAGCGCAACGAATTCCATGCGCTCAAAATGATTCAGCAGCACACCACTATTCCCCCTCCACGAGCTCTGGATATTGTTTCTAAAAACATTCCGAATGCGAACGACGACTTTGACCCATCCCCAACATCAGTCAGCTATCTCCTCATCACGCGGGTTCCAGGCATAACCTTGGCACAAGGGCACGATGCCTTGTCCGACCAAGACTTCCAGACAATATCCCTACAAATGAAGCACTATATTTCGCAGATTCGAGATATCCCTAAAATAGTGAATCCCCAAATGGCTATCTGCAACACCCTCGGTGAAGCATGCCGCGACCATCGCATCAAGTACGCAGACCCCATTGGACCCTTTCCCGATGAAGCATCATTCAGCCAGCAGCTGCGCTACTCAGACGAACCCAGCCGCCGAGGTCACAGAATCGTCTTCACACATGCAGATCTGAACCCGCGCAATATTCTCGTCGATAAGGTGCATTATGAGGATGGGAGCCACGGTTGGCAAATCAGCGGGATCCTGGATTGGGAAACTGCAGGATATTATCCTGAATATTGGGATTTTACGAAGGCCATGTACGAAGGGTTCCGCTGGCCAAAAAGATATAACGATTTTGTCAAGGATATTTTTGCGGAATTTGGCGAGTATAGTCGCGAGTTGGAGGTTGAGAAGCGGAGTTGGGAGTCTGGAGATGGCTAGCAGTGGTATTGGAGCCATGAAACAAGCCGTTATACCTGAATGGCCTTGTATATGTCTGGCTACATCAACGGGGGTGGTTTAAATGTAACCACATAATCTAATATAAGAGCATGGCGATGACTCACGAAATCACACTCGAGCAAGTTGCAGACAGAATAACTACAAATGTACTCGGTGCCATGTTGGTTGTCGCTCTAGGGTAGTCAACGTGGCGGGTCCCTCTCACCTTCCTCACCTTCCAATTCTTGACACTGGGGCGGCCCTACGTCAGCGCTGTCACAGTGGTTTGAGTGATGCATTGCTGCTGCCCCCGCTACCCGCCTCGCCTGAGCACTCCAGATCTGGCTTCTAGAACAAAGCTCAGGTGCTGTCTGGTCTGCTGTCTCAACCTTGTTCTTCTTCATACTCGTCCCCACCACGAGTCAACTCCAGCATATTCCTCCAACACCGACGTCGCCTCTACACGTCGCCAACATGGCTTCAATGGCACCGTCGGAGGAGCAGATCTCGCAAGTCATTGACTTTGCAGGTCTCAATCCCCACGATGACCGGACCATGATTATTCAGGCGCTCAAGGTCCGTTAGCCAGCCACACACCATGCTCCTGCTCAGCACCGCGGCTCCTACTCTGGGTTCTGCCAGAGCTATTGGCTTCTATGCTCAAGCTCCCAGAACTAGCTCGGCTAACTGAAGGCCAATTATGACAGGACACTGGCGGCAATGTCGAGGCGGTTCTCATGCAGTATTTTGATAATCCCGCGTCGGTACGCAACGTGGTGTAGCTGCCCTGGGCGGGCTGGGTGCTCGCAGAAGGTCAACGCTGACTTTTGGCTGTAGTTTCGACAAAAATTTACGAGTGTATGGGACGAGAGCCTATTCCAAGCGGATAGGGATGGCACGGTCAACCCTGCAGGTATTTGTACGCTAATTAATTCCTACTATTTGGGACCAGTTCCGAATCCCGCAATGCTAATCCTTGCTTCTATGCAGCATTTCATATCGAGTCGATAAACAAAAACAATGGTATTAAAAGCAACACCCCACCGCTGGAAGGATATGGGCCTATAGCACCGTCGAGACCCCCATCGAGATCAAACGGCCGGTCACCACTGGGTAGAATGGTAGACTGGGCGGCAGGAGATACGCCGGGTGAGTGCCTTACAGGGAATTGTATCATCGCCAGTGGGACGCTAATCATGCTTGCATAAACAGCAGGATCGGCCGCACCGCCCACCAGAGAAGACGAAGATATGCAAAGGGCACTTAGAGAGTCTGCCCAGGAAGCTGGAATTGCATTGCCAGAACAGCAATCCGGCGTCATGAGTACGCAGTCAACGTCAACTCCCTATTTTGGCCCCGCGAACCGAAACGACTATGATCAGGGTAGCTGGGCTATGGTTCCGGCTGGGCCCTCAGAATCTCAAGTGCCCTCAGCCCCTGCGCCGTCATTACGAAAACGAACGACTGGAGCGCCAGCTTTCTTGGTCCAAGGCATAAGCACGGTGGGCAACCATGGACTCGGCGGCCTTCTAACCGTACTACACCAGATACCTTTGGCAAGGAATGTTTTGCTAGAGACTGGTGCACCCGCTGCATCGTATGGATTCAACAGCGAGTGGTGGAAGGGCCAGGAGATCTTACCAACACACGCACTCGCACGACTGCAAGCAGGGGACCTCCAATGGGGCTACCAGGACGAGAGCAAACCTGATGTAGAAGAAGAGATTCATCGACTTATGGCATTCTTGGACTTAACAGAACGAAGTTATGGAAGCGTCAGTGTCCTAACGGACCTGATTCCGTACCCAAGCCTGGGGCCCGAAAAGCAATTTTACGAGTACCTGGGACCAAGGAATGAGGAAAAGCTGAAGCCACTGATACACTCAGCCGCGCTTGCTGCTGTGTTCGGTGACGACTTGGGTGACGAAGAGGCCAAATTTGGACTTTTGGAGATGGAGCATTCACGCAGCGACTACACGTACATCAAGACTGTTTACGAGTCATTAGACCACACCATGTGGAGCGACGTTTTGTCATGGAACGAGCTACACGAAGGGTCAAAGATGGCCATGTTCACAGAGATGGGTGAAGTTCTGGCCATCAAAATTAATGGTGATGGACCACAGGACTCTATTGATATCCCTGAAAAGTTGTACTTGGAAAAGTACCAAACAAGCCGCAAGGATGAGGCTCGGCGTATCCAGATGTCTTGGTGCGACACTAAGAATGCCATCATGAAAATCGCAAGAGAAGAACAGCAACTATTCGAGTGGCGCAATGACTGGGATCATCAAATGATGGACAAAAAACAAATGATAGAAAAGGCTAGGAATCAGTGGCAGGTATATAGCGATTATCTGCTCGGGTTGGGCAAGTTTCGAGGCATGGTAGCATCTGGCTTTGATACCGACAGTTACCCAGACTACCGAATGGCTCCTTGTGAAATGAGCGAGAGCGAAACTAGCGCATTTGAGAGAGTCGATGAGGTGTTGCAGATGCTTCTCCGCATGCTCACTGACATTGACAAGAGGTTAAGTTGTAAGTTTGTTTGTAAATTGTGGGTGGTGGAATGTTGTTTGCTGACAGGTGTAGCCCTCAACTCACAGATGGAGCAAATCATGGCCAAGCAAAGGTTCCTTGGTCGGCTTCTCACACAACCGGAGAAGCAAAATAGACCACGGCCTATGACGTGTAAAGAATTTCTTCTCCGGGGAGTGGTAACACCGTCAGACGTTACCTATGTCTGCCAACGAGCTGAACCGGATCTGATAGAATTGGGGGGGCAGCCCAAACAGTTGGATCAGTGGTGGCGGTTGGCCTACGTCCCGAACGGGGAACAGCCAGTACAAGCTGAGGTATGACGCTTTGGCCGTTAGTTAGGCACGCCTTGTGCTGACCAGATACCTTGCAGAAAGTAGAGATTGAACGTGTGCTACGGGATATCTGGCAAGAAACCAAGACACCATTGATGGTTTACGCCACTGAGACAGCCTTGAATACTGCACGAGCGCCTTTGACAGCAGCACTACAACGGTTCGCGACGGCGGAAAATAAGGCGTTCCGCCAAGAACTTCATCATGAAGCCACCGAAGCGGCAGAAGCAGAAGCCGACGAAGGCAAGAAGACGCCTGGATCGGGGCCAATAGAACCCATTTCACCATCCAAGAGAAAGCATCGGGCAGATAGCATTGATTCCATGGACAGCAACCGCGCATCGATAGGAAGTGATGATGCCCAAAACGGATTTGACAATCCATTTGAGGATGGACAGACGTCGACAGCCACTATGACAGCGTTAGGTACGCCTGTGACCACGGCAGCTATTGAGACGGATCCGGATTTGGACACGGACACAACAGAAGTAAGGGTGGTGGCAGCGGCATCAGCACGCGAGGGTGCCCTCAGTGGACGATGAACAACGGGTGAGGTAAACCACATGACGACCAATGAGGAGCCCCCCAGGTGATAGATACTTCTAGAAACTTCCATTACCCAAGGTATACCCAGCGACACGAGACACACTACAGGATAACTTACATGATAGCGTTCAAGAAGTAATTGATTGATGGTATTGGAAAGGGTAAAATTATGCGCTACGGTATATATTTTTTTTTTACCATTCATGGTCTAGGCTTATTTTACGGTCCTGTGTAAGAAGTGTATTCTAGTGCTGTCATGAGTCGGAGCCTGCATGGTGCAACCGGAGCATGTCAATGTAGCGGACTGTTGCTCCACGGGCGTAGCAGCCGTACAAATTATACCGACAGGTACCTGCGTACTCTGTACTTTCACGCATGGTACAGATCGTACGAGTGCCGTGTGCGGTGACCCCGCCTCTCCCTTCCATTCGTAGTTTGTTCCAGCTGCACTGAAGCGCCGCCATTCAATTGGGTGTCCGTCCGTGGCGGCAGCTTTGTACAAGTGCAAAACCCGTGATTGAACTCTGCGTCTATTGTCGTGTCTGCGCACTATTTATCCAGCGGACACCGATAGAAATGCCTGGTCCAGTTTGGGTTCGTACAATAGCAAGATAACTACCCACGTACCTGGCTCAAGATCCCGGACGGTCAGGTAATATTTCCCCACTTTGCGTCATAGCCAGAGCCTGTTCAGAAGCTGTGTTGGTCAACTGGTGGCTTCGGACAAGGAAATCTGCGGCTGCCGACGCTGGGTCGTCAAATGCTACATCTGAAAGAAGCTCCCAGAAGGCTCCCCCACTCTCTTCCCACTCTTCCTCCCAGGTGCCACTGTGCCAGACCACATTCTCGCTCCCGCCACCAACTTCTCCCTTTAACCAAATCGTGGATCTCTTTTCTTCTCTCTTCTTTTTCGCACAGAGACACTGAGGTAGGAATTTGACGAATCAAAAGCAATCAATCCGCATTAAAAGAAGAAATAAAATAAAACAATCCTACGATAACAATATTCGGTGGCATATGGTACAAAGCCTTAAGTCTTAAAGAGCCACCCAGAGCAACGTCATTAATCGACACGCAACATGGTCAAGGAAACGAAGCTTTACGATACCTTGGCAGTCAAGCCAGAGGCTACTCAAGACGAGATCAAAAAGGCTTATAGGTATGCATCATTCCTTATTGACGACTCGGGGCTTCACGTTGCCAACGGATTGTCGGTGTGCCGCAGTTGAGCTTGTCGCTCGATGTGGTGACATGACCAGTGGCAACACCGTTGTTGATGAAGCTCGACCTCCTTTCTTCTCCGCATTAATCAAATAATTTGCCTACTAACATATCTCTACAGAAAGGTAGCCTTGAAATGGCACCCCGACAAAAATAAGGGCAGCCCGGATGCGGCGGAAAAGTTCAAAGAGTGCTCACAAGCCTACGAGATTCTTTCGGACCCCGAGAAGCGTAAGGTCTATGACCAATATGGTCTCGAATTCCTTTTGAGGGGAGGAGGTGCCCCCCCTCCCGATGGTGCTGGGGGCTTCCCTGGCGGCATGCCTGGTGGAGGCTTTGGCGGATTCGACTTTGGAAGCGGAGGTATGCCTGGTGGAGGCACTCGGACTTTCCACTTCAGCACGGGCGGCGGACCCGGCGGCGGATTCAGCTTCAACAATCCAGAAGACATCTTCGCTGAATTCATGCGGCAACAGAGCGGGGGCATGCACGGTGACGAGGATATGCCGGATATTTTCTCGTCGTTTGCCGGAGGTGGCGGTAGCCGTTCTGGCCGCACCAGAATGAGATCGTCGGGTTTTGGTGAAGCACGACAACGTGAGCATACACCAGAAATTTCGACAGTGGAGCGGCCTCTACCACTGTCCTTGGAAGAGTTGTATAATGGAGTCACCAAAAAGATGAAGATTAAGCGCAAGACTTTTGACGAGACCGGCAAGCGGGTCCAGACAGACCAGATTTTGGAAGTTCCCATCAAGCCGGGTCTGAAGAAGGGTTCGAAAATCAAGTTCAATGGCGTTGGAGATCAGGTCGAAGGTGGTCGACAAGACTTACATTTTATCGTGGATGAGGTAAGAACAATTTCCTTTCCAATCACATTCCTGCGACGGTTGATAACTAACTGTTTGATAGAAGGAGCATGTCCTCTTCAAGCGAGAAGATAACGACCTTGTCCACACCGTGGTTCTGGACCTCAAGGAAGCTCTCACTGGGTGGAAAAGAACCGTCACCACCATCGAAGGCAAGCAAATCAACCTGGACAAGAGTGGGCCGACGCAACCTGGAAGCGAAGATCGGTATCCCGGCCTGGGCATGCCCATCTCCAAGAAGCCCGGTCAGCGGGGTGATTTTGTGATCAGGTACAAGGTCAACTTCCCTTCGAGTTTGACGGCGGCTCAAAAGCAGCAGTTGAGGCAAATTTTGTAAGGAACAGTGGGCGATGACTATGAAGCGGAGCGTGTTTGGAAACCAGCGGGTTGTAGTGTTATACTGCTGAGCGGTTTTAACCATGATGACGACACAAGATGAAATAAAAAAATATTGTGGGATCTGTGGCGTTTTAAAGGATTGGTATATGTTAATGTATTTTTTCTCTTTCTTTTGTTGGCCAAGTCTGCATTTTGGGGTCGCATGCATAGCAGGATTGCATTTGGGCAAGTCGCCTGTACGGAGGTAGACATAATAATCAAGGGTTCTTGGCATGCATTGTGAGTGAGTGAGATTGCGAGGACCGACTCTACTGCAAGAATCTATTTCGCTGATGGTGAGTGACAGAGAATGTGAATTGCTCGGGGCGCAGCAACTTTTTGCTAGGTGCGCAGGATCCCCACCACGCCCCGATTTTAGGCTAGCGGCCCCGCTGCCAGGTCCCACAGTAAATTCTTAATATAAATGCATGGAAATAAATGCCCTCAATTAAATGTAAAAGTGGTTATGTAATTACATGAATTTCTTAATAGCGCTAGCTTAGGCAGGCCTTAAATCGCCTAAAAACGTGATTTCTAGTATTTTCGTTAAAGTGTGTACTTTTAGGCTGGATTTTTTAGTTATTCTAGCTGTTTAAGCGCCTTAATTACCTATTCGGTTACATTTATTAGTTATAATAGCGGTAATAGTGTTATAGGAATAAATTCCTTAATTTAAAGAGAGCCTTATCTTTTAATTAATTCCCTTTACCTGTTATTTATATTACGATTTAATCGTTATAATAACGGTAATAGCTACTACTTGCGGCGTTAATTCCTCGCAGCTATATTAAGCTTAGCTTGTATATAGTCTCTTTAAATGCTTAGTACGGGAGGCCTTTAAGACAATTAGCTCAGCTATTAGCGGTTATTTTAGCGTATAAATTAGTGTTAAGTATCTTTTCCGTTTATTACTGCCTTTTACCGGCGATTTAAGATAAGCGCGGGGTTACGAATTTAAAGGTATAGGCAGAGTATTAACAAAAAAACTACACTACATGTAGTTTTTTAGTGTAGTTTTTAATGTAGTGTAGTTTTTATAGTTTTAGTGTAGTTTAATTACACTATAACTATATTTATAGTGTAATGTGTAATTATAAAGGGAAATTTTAATTAAAAATATAACGTTAATTATAAGACTTATAAGGTTATAATTATTATACTTAAATAGAGCTAATTTAGCTCTTTATAATGCACTAGTTTCAATACGTTTAGCTTATAAATTAAGCGAGTTATATTAGGTGAAATCTTAGCTAAAAATTAAGATCTACTTTTTTAAAATAAGAGATTAAAAGCTTAATATCTTTTATATATAAATAATAGAAATTTTTAATTTTATTATATTTAATATATTTTACTTATAATAATAATATAAAAATAATACTAATTTACTTAATATAATTCCCTTATAATTCCCTTTTATTTTATTTTTATTAGTTTTTTAATCCCTGTTTTTAGCTTATCTAAGCTAGCTAATCCCTGCTTACTAATTATATTAGCTAATAATAGCTTATAAATTAATTAACACTACACATTACACTAATTTTTAAAATGTAATGTAGTATAGTAAAACTACACTACACTACACTACACTAAAATTCACTAAAAACTATAAAACTACACTACTTCTAATGCTGTGGTTATAGCTTGCGTTTTTTAGCTTTATAAGCTTAAATAAGCTTATATTACTTAGTTAGAAGATTAATAGCTTTAAAGGAAATTTATATGGGTAGCTTACTAAGCTATTCTTCGCGATTAATTAGGTATTATTACTTAACTTTATTATTTGCCGTATAGGCGTAATAATTACGTTCTTAGTTATCAAGCATTTACTTAATTCTATTTAAAAGCGATAAAAAGTCACTTATTCCTATAAATAAGTATAATTTTAATAGTCTATAAGAGACCTTTATAAAACTATTCGCCTTTTTACTAAAAGTTTAATAATACTTCGTAAAATAATAAGCCTATTATTACTTAACCTTAAGGTATATCTCTTTCACATAATAAAGAATCGTAAATTACGTTAATTTATATGTATTAATTATTTGGATTTAAGTGGACTTAAAATCGTTAATTATATTCGTAAAAAGTAGCCTTTAAAATGCTAGAAAAGCTTCTATTAGGCTATTATTAAAAGCTTTAACTATTAACTCGTTATTTTCATTATTTTCGTTATTATTATTAATAGCTTTAATTCACTTTCATAGAAGTTATTCTTAACATTTAATAGAATGTGTTAAATATAAAGCACCTACTATATCTCCGGTTAAATGACTCTAAGGGCGTTTTTTAATGCCTTTTTAAAGTCTATTATAATAACCTTAGGGGTAAGAACCTAGAGCTTAATATGAATTTTATTTAATGAGGCTAGTATCTAGTAATAGCCTTCTTCTTTTTTAGTTCTTATAAAGCTAAATGTAATATTTATAATTGATTTTTAATTTATAATAGTAACGATATTTAAAAAGTAAAGACCCTAATAATTAGTCTTATAGGTATAGTTTATACTAATAAATCTAAGAAAACCTTCTATTTTTTAATATAAGAAGGGTAGGTTTAAATAGCGCTTTTAAGGCGGTTTTCTTCGTTAAATTTCGTTTTATAAGGTAAGCCTCTCTCTTTTAAATGCTTAATAAATTATTATAAAGATATATAACCAGCTAATTTATCTTAATAAGCTCTTTAGCGTTAATTATAAATATCTTTAGGTAAGAAATAAAGCTTATCTTCTTTATTATTACGAATTATTATACTAATACTTTAAGGCTAAAAGCTTATATACTTTAAAAGGCGTGAAGTTTACTACTTTTATTACTCTATAAATTTCTAATAAATTATATACCTAAAAGAATCGCTTGATTTCTCGTAATTATAACGGCCTTACTTCTTATAATACTATACCTAATAACTAGAATTATTAATAGACGTTACCTTAAGCTGGTAATTATAATTAGTTTTTTAGGTGCGCGTTTATTAAATTCTAGCGCCTCTAGGAGCCCTTTAATAGCTATTATAATTATAGTTAAGCTAGCTAAAGCGAGGCTATTAAATGCTATTAATTAGGGTCTTTAAGGTAATAGTACTTTTAGTAAAAGCTACACTATTTTGCTTACTAAATGCTTGTACAGCCTTATAGAGGTTATTAAAGCTACTATAGCCCGGTAAGAGCGGTAAATTTAGGGGTAAATTTAAGGGGTTTTAGGGGCCTTTATCAGCTATTATAATGTGTGTTATTAAAGGAGGAAAAACGCTACTACCTGTTAAAAAATTCGTACGGCTGTAGCCTTATTAAAAAATCCATTGATTTTTATTAAAGCTTTTTAGTGTTAAGTAAAGCTGCCATGCATTTATATTAAGAATGTATTGTGGGACCTGGTAGCGGGGCCGCTAGCCCAAAATCGGGGCGTGGTGGGGATCCTGCGCACCTAGGGTGTGATTCCCGGAATTAGGGTCAAATAATTGAGGTTAACTTTTCAACCCTAGTTAGTATATACTCCACTAATTTAAAGTGGGAATATTACTTTATACCGTCTTACAGTGATTTTTTTAGGCTTTTCCACTTTCGTATACGAGGGGGTTAAATTTTCACTGCCTTTTTAAGCTAGGGAAGGCTTTTTAATAATATTAAAGGTTATAAATAGTTAGACCACTTAAATTACGCTATATTTAACCTATCATTTAAGATTAGCTTTCTATAATGCCTTCTTATAATACCTAAGAGGGTTTAAGCTTACAAATAACCTATAATAGGTGGACTAATAACTAATAACTGCGATTTTTATAACTTTTATACGAGGCTTAAATTAACGGTTAATTAAAAAGCTTAAAGAAAGGCGTTTAAAAGGCTATATTTATTAGCTTTCTTCTAGATCTTTAAGAATAATTCCCTAAACGTAATTAGAATTATATTATATTAAATAAGAAGGAAAATAACTTTTAAAACTTCTAGCGAGTGTTTCTTAAAGTAGTAAATTAATTTAGCATTAAATATAATAAATAAACGGGGATAGAAACAGACCTACTATGCCTTAGAACCTAAGCCACCGTTACACCTAAACGCGACACACACATACACCTGTGACTCTATACGCGGTATCGCGATCTAGTCACTTTCTAATTCCCGTAACTCACTCCTTGAGAATAGTAAGGTCCCCAAATAAGCAGTAAATTAATCTAAACGAAGTGATTAAATGCTTCTAAAATACCAGTAATCCCAATCGCACGTATTTCAGGCTACAGCCTACCGTAAGTGCGAACGAGTACTCAGATAACTTAGACGATTTAGCTGCGTGGCGTGGGCTTATATAAGGCCGATTAAAAGACTTAGTAAAACATTAGTAAAAGACCTTATAAAACTAATTATAAAGGCGAAACTTATTAAATTAAAGACTGATGCGTTAGCCTGTCCTCTTATACTAATAACGTGGCTACGATTAAATGCACTATCCGACTTCCTCCGACTTGTAAGCGCAAATGCCGCCACATAATATATAGTTTATAATAAGAAGGCATTCTTAATTATATTAAGAATACCTATTATAATTAGTAAAGATAATAGGCTTATTATTACACTTAATTTTATTAGAATTTTAGGTATATAACTATAAGTCTAATTAAAGTAATATATTATAATGTAAAATCATATATATATATTAGTAATAGTAATCTATTTATACTCTTTTAATTAATTTATTAAATAATTCTTAAAAAAAATCATAAATATTCTTAAAAAGTAGCTATAATAAAGCTTTAATAGCGAAACGCGTATAGGTATAATAAATAGCTTAGTAATTTACCCACGTAAATATTTTATAAGGCTATTAATCTATTAGCCTACTAGTATAAGCTTATAAAAGCTAATTATTATAATAGTAAATAGCTTTAACCTTATAAGAAGAATTACTCTTTTATATACTAATTTATACTACCTTATACACATATTATTCTATTAAAGCTATAAGTATAATAGCCCTTAATAAAGAGCGATATTTCTTATTATTAATAGCTTATAAAGCTACTAGTAAGCTTTAGTTTTAATTCCTATTAATTTATCATAAAAAATATACCTAATAATAACTTATAAACTTCTAATACTTTATATCTTTAAATTCGTTATTCCTATAAAATTAATCGTAAAAAACGCCGCTTACTACTCTTAAATATACCCTTAAATATATAACACTAAAATTCTAATAATAATAATAATTAATAGCTAAGTTAAAGGCCTTAATCTTAAGGTTACTAATAAACTAGTTTAAGTATATAACGTATGGTAACGTAAGATAAATTAATTAAATGATTTAAGACGTAATAATAAAGAAAACTTATAATATAATTATAAGCGCGATTAAAAAACGCTATAAATTACACATAAACTTAATTAATAGGTAAATAAGCTATAAAGTAAGTAATAGTATTAGGGTTATTAGAAATTAAGGAAATTATCCCTTAAACGTAGCTAAAAGAGCCGTAGCTTTAATAAATAACCCCTTAAGAGCCCGGGTAGCGCCTATAATAATAGCGGAATAATTAACAGCTTATAAATGTGTATACATTTATTAAAATCACTAAAAATCGCGTTTTTAAGCGATTTAAGCCTTACTATTACTCGCTTAAGCTTATATTATTAAAAAAATAATAGATTTAACTTAAATATTAATTGAATTTTTAAAAAGCGGGCGCGACCATGTGAGTGTATGTGAAAATGTATGGTGGGGTGTGGGCAGTTAGCCACTAGGCCAAATCGAGCGGTAGTAGCACGAATAGCTAGGGTTGGTAGCACGAATAGCACGACCCTTGCAGAGCTGGACATTATGAACGCTGCGCGGTTCAAGTCACCTACCTAGGCACCGAGGTAGATTTCCATCCAGCCGCCTTCGGGGCATGGGGGAGGGCCAAGCAAATCAGCACCCGCGTACGGAGTACTTGGGCTTGGATTCGATCTGTGTGACTCTGGGCCCTGGATTGGAGAACCAAGATGCCCACTTGCACTACTCAAACTATTGTATTATCGCCAACTTTAGAATGAATAAAAAGTGCTCTCAGCTGATAGCAAAATGTGGCGCTGCGACCTGGCCACTATCTTAGTGCTTGACCCACATTATTTATACACTCCAAAAAAAAAAAGCCCGGAGTTGCACATGCCGACCAATTCTCCAACCGCTCCGCAGAGAGCGTCCAACATATAGTTATTCCAACCCCCTCCTGGTAGTGTCCAGGGCACAACGTGGTTGTGGAACCCAATCCATCATCAGCATCCGTCTACGGAGTACGGCCAGAGCTCTCTCTACCTCCGCCAACGAGAGACAAAGGCAGCTTATCCGCAATGAGCGATCAGCTCGAACACTCTGCTTGGCGATGAGCCATGATTGACATAATGGCCTATCGAAACCAGTCCTCCGAGCCACAGCAATTGCGCAAACCACCCTCTTCAGCACCCGCTGACCCTGAACGAACTCAAGCTACCAACCATCCTCACGCAAGTACGACGCTCAATACCATCTTGCCGCTGCTAGACGCGTTCAACCATCGTCATCACAACCAGCACCGCACCTCCCACTGGTGGGCGACATTTGGAATACTTCGTCGCTCCCTCCGGGCCCTCGCCGAGTGTTTGGACCAACCGGTCGTGGATAGCAGTCGCAATCGCACCGACCATGCCGTCGTCCGGGCCTCGTGGCTGAATACACATGTCCTGCCACGTGCTTTTCTGTGAGTTTTGGTTTCCATCATCCCCCCTCAAGCGCTCCCACTGACCGCCAAGATGTAGTGCATTCAGTCAACTTACTGCGGACAATCAACATGCTCCGTTGGGCCTGTTTCTGCTGACCGTGCTTAGCCAGGTCCATGGTTTCTTATCAGGCATGTTACCGCAGAACGCAGCACCAGCCAAAGCAAAGCTACCAATGCAAAAGTCTCCAAATCCTCCGTCGCCGAATCATCCATCCGTTATTGGCACTGAACACACAGACCGGGGTGTGGTAGTTTCCAGAGAGACTATAATACAAACAGGCGACGACGCCGTGGACCTCCAGTCTAAGAAGCGCAGCCGAGACGAGATCAAGTCACATGCCAGAGCAACGTCCAACATGGACAGGGAGAAGGACAAGAAGCCCAGGAAAAAGAAGAAGAAAGCTGGTGACGAATTGTCTAGTTTATTTGACTCCCTGTCGTAGTTTAATTTGCCTCGGCCCTCCGAAGACATTATTTAGTGGCAAAGATCATGGAAACTTCTAGTCACACCACCGTGAGAAATGGGTCATTGTCCCGTTCCTGTTGACGATATCACATCAGACCCAGCAAATCATACTAAATACACGAAATTTCAAGTAATAACAAGAGTTATTTATAATAAAGTAGAGACCAAAAATATAGAAAAAGCTACCTGCAAATTACCTACACACGATCCCTAAAGCCCGTACAAAGTCTTTTGCGTCTTTGTCTTTTCTGCCTGTGCGCCATCCTCAGTGATTTTCCCAACGGCTCTGGACAAGCACTGTAGTAACTTGCCGCTTCAAGTATCAATAGCCCACTCCCTTCTCCAACTAGTCAGAAATCCTGCGCTCATACTGTCCAGGATCGAGACGTGTAGATCCATGCCGCAGTGCTGGTCTGCCCATTAAAATGGACGATATGACCAGATTCGCGCCTTCATATCGCCGGATCCCGTAGCAAAGTAGGCACCCTGGGGGCTTGGAGCTACTGAAATCACGGAGTTCTTATGCCCCTGCAACATCAGCTGTGTGGTACCAGTGCGAGGATCCCAAAACTGAACACCTCGATCCTTCGAGCCTGACAACACCCAGTTGGCATCAGGTGTCAAAGCAACCGATAGAACAAAGTCGCGATGGCCCTCAAATGTCTTAACACACTTCCCACCTTTAGGGGCGGCACTTTGCCCCCCACGTGCGGAACTAAGCTCCCACATCTTAATCGTTCGGTCCAAACTGCCACTGACGAGGTCTTTCCCATTTGGCGAGAATGCCACCGAGTAGACAGAGTCCTTGTGCCCGTCAGGGCCTTCCAGACGCTCGACCAGAAATCCGGAGTGAATATCCCAAACGCGAACACTCTTATCCAGGGATCCAGCAGCAACATACTGCGTGTCGGGGGAGATTGCAACGGTCGTGACCCCATCTTCAATTGTCAAGGTCAATGTATTGGTGCCTTGCTCGATATCCCACAGCCTGACTGTTCGGTCGCCACTACCAGATGCAATCGTTCGGCCGTCGCGTGCAAAATCGAGTGAGTAAATATCTTGCTCATGACCAGAGAAATGGTTGCGAATAGTTCGAGATTGAATGTCCCAAACCTAGATTTTCACAAATTAGTTTCATTTCCACCCAAATAATATGAAAAGGAGAGCACTGGCTTCCTAGGACAGATGAGTTTTTGCGGGGCGATCAACTTACTCGAATCAGCTTATCTTCAGCGCCGGTGGCCAGGTAGCGGCCGTCAGGACTGAAGCACACACTTCTAATATACAGATCGGCGGTCATATCTTGAGCATTGTGGTCCTCCAGCACGCACACCTTCTCACCAGTTTGGACGTCAAAGATCTGAGCAGATCTGTTGCAGCCGGTGGCCACATATTTACCATCATGGCTGAACCTTACACAGCATACCACACTCTCGTGGGTGAGCGAATGGACGAGATCCACGTCCAAGACTCGCTGGACAGCCGGGTTGAAGATGGCATACCAATCACTGCCCGTCTTTTTGTTGTGTGGCGCGACAGCGTCGACTTCGAGGTCACCCAATGCATTGCCAACAGGGGGTGGTCGAGGACCGCCCATACGAGCGTGGTCGGGCGTTGGATGGCTAACCTGAGGCGATTGTGCATTGCCTGGATACGGGACAGGAGTATTGATCTGGGGGGTGGCAGGGCCAACGGCATTAGGTGGCCGGCCAACTCCGCGTCGTCCTGGCCCTGGTGAAGCTGTGCTCTGAGGCGGTTGAGGGCCCATTCCGTTGGAGACGGGCCCCTGAGGATAGCCTTGCTGGTATGGCGGCTGTTGCGCATTAGGATGCGGCGGGGGAACAGGAAGTCCAGGAGGCCCTTGGCCCATCTGATGTTGAGGTCCCATCTGCTGCTCTTGCGGAGGAGCATGCGGCTGCTGCTGTGGAGGTGCCAGTCCAGCTTGATTCCCGCCAGCCATTATGCCACTAAAGAGGCCGTTTCCGGGAGCAATCGACGGAGGTTGCTGAGAAGGGCCGGGATGCTGGGGAGGGCCGGGCATGCCAGGCTGAGGGCCACCTTTGCGCGCGTTTTCAAGTTGATGACGGAGCATGCTGATTTCTTCCTCATATCTAAAGGGAAAAAGTTTAGAACATGGCGTAAATACAAAGAGGGAGCAAACGTACTTTTGCTTGAGGGTCATATGTGTCTGCTCCATTGCATACACCTTTTCCCTGACCAGCTGCATCTCGCTGACTTGGGCAGAAACTGTTGGTGCGTACCACCGGATCAGTCAACCATTACTTGAAATTGGGTCGCAAACAAGACTAGAATGAAATATTGACATACTTTGGTGCTCAAAACCTTCGGTCTGGCGAAGCTGGGTCTCAAATTCGGCTCTGATTTGGTCGAGGAGTTCGTTGAGGCGCGCCGAGTTGCCAGGGGGAACAGCCCCCATACCCCGATGAGAGTACATAGACATGTTCAGCGCTTCGGTCCGCGAACGACAATGTCGCAATGCCACTGGGGATCGCTATTATACTTATGCGCTATGTTCTGAAAGGCGTGGCGTTGTCGAGGTTGCAGTGCGATCGTGGCCAGCGGTGCAATCTTCGATTCAGTAGTCGGAACGATGAGGCTGGCGCGCCAACAACGCCGACAACTGGCAGTGGGGCTCACTAGATGGATGTATGGGTGGTGGTCAACAAGCGACTGACTGCGGAATGAAGCTGCGCGGGAAGCAGGATGTAGGCCCTGTGATGCCAGTCGTGTTATCGCGGCGATGGACGATGGGCGACGGGTGATGGCGACGAGCAGGAAGCAAAGTTGAGTTGTTTGTCGGCGGTGGAGACGATGGCAACTGGGAAGGGGGAGGGGGGGGGGAAAAGGTGAAGAGGAAAGGTAACGGAGGAAGCAAAGAGTCGCCGGGGATGATGGGATTAGTGGAGATTTGGAAGCGAGACTAGCAGCTGTGGGCTGCAAGGCCAGCGGGCGGCGGGCCACTTGCATGGGGCATGGTCTGTGGCGCATGGAGCGCTGAGACCCCGGGTGGTGGATGCAGGGGTTGAGAGGTTGAGAGGACACCAGGGCATGGACATGCAGCAGGGGCCGGTGGGACGTGCTTTAGCGCGTGTGTCTCAGCTTCGAAGCACCAGGTTGACATGTGTTGATGGACGCCTGAACCAGACAGACACTGGAGCACGAGGCTACTTTGCTTGGGTGCTGTGCTTTCAATGTTGCTCCCAAGTGATATGGTCTGGGGACAGAATCTGAAAGGGTGTGGGATAATGGAAGTGTTAGAATAGAATAGCAGGGGCGTGTGGTGGAAATACATGGCGCATCCAATGTTGAGTTGCCTCTAGGCGTCATGTAATATGCCAAGTACCTACCTACCTAGTACTTAAGTAGATATAGGCACCTAGTACTCCGTAGGTAGTAGTAGATAGGTACCTAGTACGTACGCACTCAAATAGTCATAAGCAACAGACCAGCATATCGACGACTCGGGGGCTGGGGGGTTTGCTCCATGTTCGTGAGCCCATCGTCAATCGGACAGGATAACCGATAACAATTGATTGCACATGTGTCGCGGCAGCCTGGGCGTGTGGACATCTGAATCTAACACAGGGCGTCCCCAGAGGATCCTTCGCAGTCAATCCTTTGCCGACCAGGGCAGAGGGCCACAAGGCAGGAACAAGCATCCATGTCTTCAACATTGAATGTTGAACCAGACAGAAGAAACTGGGGAGGCGTGGCCGCCAAAAATCTTTAGCATGCAAAACGCCTCCCCGCTGAATCTCCGGTGACCTAAATTTGTTGCTCTGTGTCTGGTGGCGCCGTCGATTCGAGTTTTTCAATGTTGGGGGTGGCTCAAGTCCCGCTGCTCGTCGGCAGTATTACGTTTTTGCACACGAGCCTAATGCACATTATATAGATTATTGTACAAAAACGAGGGTGGAAAGTAAGATTGCTTGGCTGCAGCAGGCATCAGGCTCAAGTAGGCTGGAAACCAGACGCACCCAAGCTTATTGAAGGGGGGTGCTTGAGCATGTCTTGTACTATACCAACTTTTCTAGGAACGGCAACGAATTAAGACAAGGCATGTTCGGGAGCCAAAAAGGCATGTATCCGGGTCAGGCTGCGTACTTAAGTACTTAAGTACAGTAGCGCTTAATGGATCTCTGCCGACCGCCGTGGTACCTCAAGAACAGGAAAAGCCAGCTGTCTACTCCGCACATGGGGAGTACGTACTAAAAGTACAATTCGAAACCGCGAGCTCCAACTGCTGTTGCAGATTCAGCTGGCTGTGCTGAGTGAGTGAAAGAATGGTTGGTCGATATGCATGTGCCCGTGTCTACCATGCTTGGGTGTCGTAGAGTTGGAACATGCAATTAACTATTGGCGCTTCAAACATGTTTCCCGCTGCTCATTTCCTTTGTTGTGCGTCGTTTTCGTGGCTCGGCGCCTGCTGACATCAGTCTGCCCTGTGCGCCCTGGTTCAATGTTCCGTTTTATCCCTGCTCTCTTGGCCCGCCCCAGTCATCCTTGTCCCGCAAGCTGCTGGCTGCACGCCGCACGCACGCACCGCTGCACGCTGCACGCTGCACGCTGCACGCTTCACCAGTTGACGCTTCACGAGCAAAGGTCTGGTGGGTCTGTTGGTCTGTCCACTGAACATTAACACTACGGGCTGCAATGTCGCCAGAGTCTGGTGTGCTCGGGACAATTGAGCCATCAAGTTACCTTAACTTTGTGCCCCGTACTCCGTCTGTGTCATGTGCCAGGCGAGTCGAAGACGATGCAGGCCCGTGGCAGTAGCTCCTTGTATCATGTATTGTCCGCCACGCGCATAAGAAGGGCTCTTCAACTCTGTAATATCAATGCACGCTGCAGGCAGAGCAAAAGCCCCTGTCAGCCGGTCGCCGACCTCGAAAAATCCCACTATGTGACGCTGCCTCTGACATGATATGGGCAGTATGTCCCTACAAACAAACATGC